AAAAAATACCAAACTGCCGTTAAACGGCCCGGGCGAATTTATGGCAAAATCCGGTAACATGTGATACACTCATGTACTATTTTGTTTATACAAAATTTGTTGTGTTTCGAAAGTGTTTTTTGTTTTTGTTTTTGCTGTACAGCTTCCTCCTCATGAAACGAAGCAGTGCACATATCTTATCAGCTGTGTGTAAACTACAAACAGATATCTTATCAGTTGTTTGTAAATAGCTTAGCCCCAGTTCAGTTATTTTTGTTAACCATGAATATTAATGAGAAGCACTCATGGGCTGTACACTGCACTGTATAAACAGAAAACTTGGGTATTTGTTTGCACACAAGAAAAAAACTGTTTACTTGAACAAGATATTATTTTTTCAATAAAATAAATACACTAATGTATGTGGCATGCCTTATGGAGCTATGCTTGTGATTTTCAAAAAAAAATGTGAAAAGTGCCCAAAAAACTATTCCGCTACCTTAATAGCTCTTGCTTTAACCCTTTCTTCCTACGTCCCACCACGCAAGAGGAAGTTACATTGATGTTATATAGTCTTGACCCCTAAAAGTCTTCTGGCTTACTTGATGATTTACCTAAGGTAAGGTATATAAATAAGCCTCAAATTCTATTTCCATGCCTCTTTTATTTTTAATTAATTAGTTCCAAGACCATCTTAAAATGTCAAAAGTCACTCCCATCTATAAATACCCCGGAGAATTATAGGCCCATTTCGATTCTACCCCCTTGTAGTAAAATTTCTGAGAAAGTAGTCAAATTGATCAATTACAACTTTACCTTGAGAAACGTTACATTTGGTTTGAACATTAACACGGCTTTCGTAAAAACTACAGCACAAAATTGTCTTTAATTAAACTCGTGAATAATCTATTAATAGAAATTGACAAGGGTAGACCAGCATTGGCCTTCAATCGACACAATTAACCACTCCATACTCATGTCTAAATTGGATCACTACGGTATACGGGGGTTTCCCAAAACTACCTTGAAAATATATCGCAATTTATTTCTTCAAACGGACTTTTCAGCAATTCCCAATAACTTGTGGTGTCCTCTAAGGCTCTGTCCTCGTTCTATCTCTCTCTTATATATCAATGACCCTCCAAATTCAAATGATTTCTTTAATTTTAGGTTGTTTGCATAAGATTCGAATCTGTTTCATACATTTTCATCAGGCTTTGATATTGGTCTACAACAGTGAGTACACATTTGGACGAGGTAACATGCTGGTGTGATGCCAATAGCGATAAATTGTTCAAAAACTAACTGAATGATAATATGTGGGCGTCGTAATGAGGTAGAGCTAGAAGGCTGTCTTCCCGTCAACTATATTGTTTGTGAACGAGGCTGAATTGATTACATTTGTTTGCGTTGAAATTGACAAACATCTAACTTAGACTAATCACATTACAAGTTACTGAGGAGAAAAAATAGTATTTTGCTAAGGTTGCGGCGCCTTGTCCCCAGGCACGCCCTCTTACTTCTTTATAATACATTGACCCAGTCAGCTTAATATGTACAATATTTTGATTATGCGGATACTTTGAACCAATTCTCATCATAGAATAATAGCAATATTTCATGTTTAATATCCTTCTTTCTTTATTCTATCCGTTTAACTGATACTAAAAGTCGGTATGTCTACCAACATTATTCATGAGTATTTGAAGCAGTTATCAGGATTATTAGTGTCAACAATGTCTCTTGTACCACACAACAACACGTTATAAGGTATCAGTCATTATTAGCCAATGGCGTTTTTCCCGGTCTATGTAATGTTGGTTCTCATTTAAATAACATCTCTGTCATCCGCAATAGTTCATCAGACCGGACCGGACCGTTTGGACAAATAATGGTGTTCCGAGTAATTGATTTTAGAAATGCGGCAAGCCATAAACTTGTTTCCCAACTATATGGATCATCGCCAATATTATGACAATTCATCGCACCATCATGCGAACATTACTCGGCAATCCAGGCAAATCCTTTACATTTATTGTCTCTTCCAATCTGCCGTGTTTTACAAGCTGCGACCAATTTGATTTTGCACATGCAAAAAAAAGCTTGGCCTCTGAAAGAAAACGTAAAAAATGTTGTGATTAATTTTGCCTCGCAATTGTCTCTATAATTAGTTTGAGTTAACATGTTATCTGTTAAGTGGCGTCGGACAATTGCAATTATTTGGAGCTCATACGAACAATATTTTGATGATTTGTGCAGATTCGTTTTCCCCTAAATTTGATATTATACTCCTCAGGCTTACAATACAAAATCAGATAATATATTTGAACAAGATGTGGTAAATAGTTTATAAAATCAAAATATCATTATCCAGTATAGTGTAACACAATATTAAACAACAATATATCTAACATACATTGTTGGGACATGTTTACCAAATATACAATAAGGATACTGTGCCTAATATTCAGTTATTGCCGTCAGATAAAATGGGTCCCATTATTTCGAATATATTAATGTAACATGGATATAAATTATCATAGTTTACAATGCGTCTTGGTGGTATAGTAGACGTTGTATAGTAAGCACAACGATCTGAGTGATTCCCCTTCATAGACATAGGTTTACAATACAGGGGATCTCCTTGCAACAATTTATCCTGTTTTCCGAATTTATATTGGAAACAGTTTTTTTGTTTATCAATCATTCTCAATAAAGGTTTTCTAAAACACAAGAACATAGTAATTCCTAACCATACATTAATCAAGAAGTTTGACTTCGTCAATAGCCATGGCATACGAAATGGGTTGCGTACATATCCTAACATAGAAACAACTGCGTACTTACTACGTGCAAATTCTTGTTCAATTAATGACCATACGTAATTATCTTCTTTGTACTCTGCAATATCGCTTGACGGGGGAATGATGTCGTCTCGAGTATATAGACGTGTAGATTTTCCCAAAAGAGGTAATATTGCCTAAAATATATATGTTAAACATTGTTGAAAATCCTGAAACCAAATATTATCGAAAAGATCTTCGTTGAAGAGATCACGTATCGTGTGTCCTCAATTGGTAGTATTCATATGTACTCCTCTATTGATCCACGTGATTTATCTTACCTGATCGTAGAGTGGATAAGCAACATACAAACATTCTAGACCACGTGATTTCATGCTTTCCGTCAGTGATTGGACAATAACTCCAGCATATTTATACATACTCCCTAGCCTGGCAAGGACGGACCGACAATGTTCATCAGAATTGTCGCCAGGTCTGCAGCCACTTGAAAAAAACAAAACAAATCCGAATTTATTATGAATCATAATACATGTAACTAAGTACACAATCTGGAAAAAGTAATATTGGAATTGGGTCAGCTAACGACTTCCCTGTTCTCAACAATAAGTCATAAAATATATAAATTTAGGTCAGGTTGTTAGATGCCGGAGTTTCCGTCCCATTTCTGTTTTCGAAAAATGCACATCACTGTGAAATTTTAAATAATTTTAATTTCTTTTCCTATTTATGATATCAATAAATTATTGATATTTACATGTATATTATGTCAGACCATGACATAATTAAAGGTTCTAATTTTAGTACAACATTTATTAATGAATAACTACCATCATCTTCTTTCCCTGAGATGGTACAGTTCACAGTTCAAGTTCCCGTTCGATGAAGTCCGAAAACAGGAATTTATAATTTCATTCATGACTTGTTAAATTACCACTTTTTTCTTAATTTAATAAAACAGTATTGATAGTTTTGGGGGATTACAAATCTTTCAAAAATGTACGTTAAACATATGTATAGGGTGAGCTCAGTGCCAAATTATTTTGTTTTGTAGCCTTAATTCACATTAGTTATTTATTTTTTTGTTTTAGCTCATCATCATAATTTATGCATGTCTAATATCATACTAAGACTTTCTCTTTGAGATAAGTCTTTATCACACGTTTACAAAAGTTCATAAATTCCAATCAAATATGGACTCCGCTGTTTTACAACTAGGTATGATACAACTTGACGTCTTTATACCTCTAATATTGCAACCCGCGATGAACTGTGATTTACATATACAGACGACATTTTGCCGAGAACAGTAAGCTACAGCCATGCGCTACGAAGTAACAAGGCAGACTAAATAGCTGCGACTCGGGGAAAAATAAACCCAATCAAAATGTTTGACCTTTGACTTCTTAACGTCTTTTGAGTGCTATCACTGCAAACACAAGTAGCAATGGGTTAAGTCCCATTACCAGTTGACAGTTCCTCCCCGAAAATCTTCTTTAATTTTGACCCTTACTACTTGTATTTTACACGAACACCTTCGTTGTGTTACATAACTTGAAACTTTAAGCGAGATTGTGAGACGTATACTCACGTTTCCCCGGTTCTGTTTCTCCAGTGCAAGACCGCAAACTTACCACCGTCACAAATCTGTCTACTCAACAGGTTGGCCGCTGATACAATGTATGGCGCCCTCACAAAGTGCTTGTCGACTCTCCTGTATAACTCCTCTCCGTTTGGTAACTCCATATGGCGCAATTCCCATGGGCTGCTGACAATAAGGCACCTGGAATTGGGCGACGTACTGATGCGAGCACTTACATTATACGTTGAATCCCAAACGTCTTCAGCATTGGGGAGAACCAATCCAAACATACTTCGGAAAAGATCAACGTGTTTAGCATATCCTTCTTTGAGGTACTGTATATTACTTCTTGGTTTTCGAAATAATCTGCTGAGAATGACGTCATCTGCCGTCAAATTGTCGCCGCACTCCCGCTGAAATTCGTCTGTCGTCGCCAGCGGAAGCAGTTGGCGAAGTTTTTCTAAATCGAATGTGTCATTGAAATTTCTAATGCGAGACGAGGTGTCTTTCTGTGTCACGAAGTGCTTGTGAAACGGCAGCAACACAATGCTACGTTGCTGGTACAGCGCTAAGCGTACTGATATACGGAAGCTATTATACAGCCAGTTTGGACCGCCTTCTGTGAAGAATAATGGAAGTAAATATCGACGTTGTGGTGACTCGTTCGGTACCATTGAAGAATTACCTAATGGTTGCGAAGGCGTGATTGGATTATGCTGTGAGATCTCTCGTATCGTCGAGTTTTCTACTTGAATATCGTACACGTGTTCTGCTCTAATCCGTTCCTGTAATACAAATGATATTTAAAAGTATATCTCTTTTTGGTTAAAACAAATGGCTAGTTAGTAAATTAGACGAATTGGAAAATAACACTGCTTCATTATTAGAAACCAAGAAAATACGATTCTGTGTTTTTAGTTTGATACGTTGGTTAAGAAAAGTCAAGATTCTGGTCATCGTGGCACTACCAAACAATTCACTTATTTCGTCACTGCACACCGGCCTTGTAACTTGGAAAATGTTGACCGCGTCTAATATTTTAGCAGAGAAATAATGCGCCTAATCACCAACTTTTTTGAAAAAAAAAAATTGTCCAGACACATTTTGTCTTAATCAGATAAGTGTCATGAAACTCTATCAAAGCCTGATATATACGAGAACAGGAACGTATTGTAGCATGTGCTGAAATTATGAAAGAATCTGGACGGTCGCATGCAGTGTCAATCATTCACGGGGAAACCAAACATCCTACATGTACGTGATTGCAAATTTATTAGCTTCTGTTAACATTCCCGGCAGTCTGCTACTACTATATACTTCATACATGACAGAAGTCCAGGCCCTCAACCTGGCGTGTGCTGGGTGTAGACGTTATGCGGTGTTTCCTGTATACTACCGTTTAAATACAAAATGGCGACAACCGGCCACGAGTGAAATCATCTTCTCGAACGAATGGGATTCTCTGAGAATATTGTAACCATAACAACCAAAACTATTGTATAATTACACAGTCACTATATTCCACGGTGGTTTCATGTGATATACTTCTTTTAATCTATTGTAAGGTCAAAATAAAAGAATAAGACGTGCTTTTCAAGGACACCGAGACTCGGTGTCCAGATGAGTTTGCGGCCCATATGATTTGCATATGACTCTTAATATCAAAATAATTTAACTATCGCCGGATGAAATACCAGACGGTCTGGCACGTCATTGGTTCTAAAACCAATTTGTCGTATTCATCACGAATAATAGTACGTCTACATATGACAATAACTCATACTGCATGAACAGGCGAGAATATGTTATTTTTGCTCATGTCTTCACGTGACATAGCAACTGTGATCGTCCACTTATTGGTCAATTAAAAAAAAAAATTACAAACGTGTATTGCGACCCTAGCCGTCTGCCTTTTACAGTAAAATAACTGTGTCGGTGAATCGTAAGCGCCCACAATAAAGCCACATTGTTCGCACGATTACGTCATGACGTGTGCTGAAGTTAAATGTCTGTGGCCATTTTACACTGCGAAATGGAATTATTTTGTCCATGTTTATTTCATTTATGCACGAAATGTGTGATAATGTAGTATTGTGATGATAATATAGCAGGAAAACGTATGAATATCCCACGATAATACTTTTTTACGTTTATTTTCAGGCATAGTTCTTCACGTACACTTACTTCACGATATTCACTTCACGCATTCACACACCCATACTCACCTGTGTCGAGTTATTGATATAACTACCAGCCCTGGTACCGTATCCATGATGAGAAACCATAGTCGCAAAGCCCAAACCATAATTGTTATAAGTATACACAGATGCTAGCGAAAATATTAACATTATGAAAACAGTTTTACGAAGCTTCATTAGCATTGTTTTTGATTGAAACTTCTGTCTTTTTGGTGCCGACATTGATGTTTATTGTCTGATTTGTCCATGAAGACACTTCTAGGAAACACCGGTCATATAGGTGTACAACTTGTAAACTGCCAACACGGGAAGTAAAGCAAGTAAATAACGCCGAACACACGTAAAGAAAATAAATACTGTGTTAAATCAGATTGATCATGTCCTACACACGTACAGCACCGACTCGCCTAGTTACGGCACGTCTTCCTCTCAGCCAGATACACTGCACCAACGTCACACAGGTTTGCTTCCAATGCACATATTATTTACTTTCGGTTCATCTACTTTTGATTAGGTTCACTAGAAATAAATTAGAATCAAAATTAACAAATTAAATTCAAACAAGGGTAATATATTCCTGCGTCATGTGTTCACGTGGCAATAGTTTTTTTTTTTACCGCTTTTAACATCACTTACCGCGTTTGACACACTTTCCACCACACATACTAGGGGTGGGCTATATTTTCAATCCTTCGACTGGTTTAAGACCTCCAAAAATGAAAAATGACAAGTCCTTATTACACACTACTGTTGACTATTGCTCACCGGTTATCGCAAATTTGGGTAGAATATCGGATCGAATATCCCCCAGGCTGTTAATTAAACGTTATCGCGTTGACTGCTGCCACTGGCCACCTTTTGATTATATGGTACCCAAGCTCGTGCAAGTTATACAAATTGCTTCTCGGACACCGTAAACACCGAATTATCTCTTTTTCACAACGCTAGCGTTTAATAACAATATGATGACGTGCGCAACAAATACATTATATAAAAGTACTTGTTACCCCGTACTTCATTTTAAAACGTTCTGACCCCGTAAAAATGGCCAAACACCTATTCCCAAACAAGAGCCCGGTGACGTTTGGAGCCAATTTTCTTATATTGATAATTAGTAAAATATAATGGAATATCAATACATTCTCATGAGTATTTCATTGAATCAGCTTACACCCATACGTCACACATAAAACGTGTGCAGCTGAATAGCGAAAAACAGACAAGAATCAATTAAAGCAAATGCAACATAATGTACAATTTACATACTGTTATCGCCATGTTTGAAGTTTGTGGAGAAAACTGAAAGAGAAGCACGTAGTCACACTGATTAGTACAGTGTTATGGGGTCACTTATTGTTAACAGCCCGCCATATTATAATCACTTATTTTATATATACCGTAAACACATATTTTAACATCTGTATTATGTATCGCGACTGTGCACGGCTTTACCACGCCAATGGCTGCAAACATATATTGGCCTACGACTGTATAATAATATGCTATATAGAAATGTAAACAAGATTGCAACTCGACCGCATACGGAAAGTTGTTGATTGGAAATGGCAACCCGGCGGCAGATGCGGAGGTATTGTAGCCTGCCTGTTCGAGGCTTGGAGAATTCTGTCTGCCAATAGAGTTGAGTTTCGGTTCATTCTTTTGTAACAAAATGAGGACGTGTGCAACGAATACATTGGCCACAAGTACCTGTCACCCGGTGAAGTAGGCTTTTATCCAAACGTCATATATAAAGCGTATAAAACATTGTCGATCACGCTGCATGGCGACTATGCCGCTTTAATGAAAGTAAAAAGTAAATTGTGACAACAAGAAATCATTTAAAAAAAAAATTAAATTGTCAAAAGCTGAGTCGGGGAAGAGCTGTGTTGGAGTAGTTCTGGATGAACAGTTTTCTATATAACGAAAAAGACGATAACCACAGCAAATACAACATAATTTTACGATGTACATACCAAATCAGCTTGCCAGTTGAACACAGTCACCGCTCCAACAAATGTACACGCCGGACATTCACGATTTTTAACTTACATTATGAGTCACCACTCGAGTTTTTTATCGCTGTGATACAAACATAGAGTAACACGGATGTTGCTAGTATTCAATGCTATGATTGATGAAATCCATATGCTACATCGCTTGTTATTTTTTACCCTAGCGTGTAATGCTCATTGTTTGCTTAGTATGAGTGTGTCGTTTTCGCTACTGTGACGTCACATCGATAGACTGGGTATTCATACTGCCTCGATTCCGACAGTATTAAATAAAGATAATATTCTCGCGGCGGGCATCCGGGAATTTTTTCCGCCTGCCAAAAATCAAGATGAAAACAAAGGTCGACAACTCTCAGAGAATTCTACTTTGAGGACAGTGTAACATGTGCAAGTTATGTAAATTTGGTTGCTCGGAATTACTTCAAAGTTGAGTTTGTGCTGTTTGTGCTGGCGTTCCAACGCAGCTTGTGCAGAACCAATATAATTTACATGGTATAGTGGCGCGCGTCTTAAAACGTTCTGTGACGTAGTTCCGCCCCAATAATATATCGTGTATATATGAACTACAGATGCAATGAATGCAAATGACTTACTTGTGGCCACATCAGGAACATCCCTATAAGTGCGACTCGATGAACTACAAAGTGTCTTGATCAGCGAAGCACTCTTGCTGCGAACAATAAACTCGGGGGTTTTGAAGAATGTGATTTATTTGTAAACGTGTACATATCATTTTGGGTATATTTTGTAACATCCGTATAAAATCCGTAGTTTATAAAATAAACAATGTGCGCTTATTTGTTTTTGGTACAACTATAATAATATTGATATTAATAGCTATTGTGAATGTCCATACACTGTTCAATATGCATAAACTCAAATTACTCAATTTTAGAAATTGTAGAAGACGTAACAATCATAATGAGCGCTGACCAATGACAGACAATTTACCATACGTATTTATATTATTATTGAATAAGAACAATACATTGGAACTGATGAATAAAACAACAAACACTAGTACGCCGTAAGACCTAACAAATATGGCGACATCTGGTTATATCTAATCTATGACATTTAAATTCCCTGGGCAATATAATTTACTTTGTATGATTCATAACGAGGCATCATAACTGACTGAGTGTCAGAATTATTACGCAGGTAAGGGGTAATGTTAAGAAAATATGGCATTTTTTGTTACGTACAAAATATTCACTGTGGCGATTTATCGTAAATAGCGCCCTCTAGCGACGTAAACCGGCGACACCATAGACCTTAGAAAACAACGACATGCAACTGTGAATATTCCCTTCACACCTTAGACTGACAACAGAGAAATGTCAACTGGATACAGTCTGAGGGTATTAACTACACACAGTGAGCCATCTTTGTGGTTAGAATATAACCACAAAATTCACATTTTATTAAAACGCTAAGTTTTATAAACAATAATATATCAAGTTTATCATACTCACAGCAAACTACCAGCTGAGAGGTGGGAAACATAGTATTAAGGTCGTTCGCGGGTATTTGATCTATTTTGTTTGAAAAGTGTTACATAGTTATTGATTTATACAAGTCATCGACTTTTGGGCTTTGCACCCAGTATGACATATTTCACTGGGAATAAAAGTGTCTGAAAACATGCAAAAATGACACAATTTGGACTATTTATATATATGAATGCATTATTTTGTTTAAAAAACATATTATAGTATTTTTTCAGAATTTTCCAATAATTCGGGACAACCATATGTACATATCCTATTAGTAGTTATACATATGATATTTCATCACTATATATACCTGAAAACAGTTTTGAGATATAGCGTAACCTTGTTACCATGAGAACCAATGGCAAATGGCTTAAAATTACATTTTGTCATGGGTGTTTTACATTTTTTGTGCAAAAAGTTGTTCGAGGACTATGTCATTTAATTTGTATTGTGTGAAAAAACATCAAAAAATTAAGCCTCACGGTAAAAGTTAAGAAAATCTAGCGATAGGTTTTAAAGGTTGCCAAAGAAATAGAAATGATATCGAATGAACAAAATACAGGTTTTATTGATAATTAAACAATTTATAATCATAGAATCATATAATCTGTCGGTTCCACGACATGTCGTCTGTCTTTCAATGTAATTTTAAATATTGAACAGGCAGCCATATTAAAAATGGAGTTTCAAAACGAACAAACAACTTAACTTAACGTTGGATGTTATATCGCGCTCGGCATGTCATAGTCATTGAAACTGCCGCTTGCATATGTATGATCATCAGTTATTACCATGGTGACGGCACTCACTCGCTGTGTTGACCTTAATTGAGCGGTGATTGTTTGCACCTGTGCCACGACTGCTGCTATTTAACGAAAGTTTGCTGCTACAAATATGCCAATTAACATCTAATTTAAATATACAAACCGACAAAAGTCATAAATGTTTACCTACCCGTGAGTTGAATCAGGATAAATTCAGATACGCAATTATTTGATAATTGGAACTTGGAAATACTGTTGGTCAATTTAAGACGAAATAGTAACTGTTCAGTAATATCCATTCTCGAAGTTTAAAGTATTCGCCACTCCGTTCACATAATTAAGACTGGGCGTTATTTCAGGCGTGATCGCCGTAATCGAAGTCGCCATCGTCTGAGGTTGATTATTTGTTTGTTATTTCGCGTAGAGATGTGGTCAGCGAGGGATGTGTTACTTGTCCTTACTGTATCGCTACAACTATTTCTCTTAGCGGAACAAGGTGAGAATAGAATTTCAATTATTTGTGAACATATTTTGCAACGTATTAATATTTACACGAAAGCATCACGACACTGCACGTAATGACGTCATTATATATGGATTGATTGTGTGTATAATAAATACTAGTATATTTGAGGGTGTAGTAGACATTCGTGAAAAAATTTAAATACTAATCTTTAAAAAACTAAGATTATCATCAAAGCTAGGCCGATGATACTTTTACGGAATGTTCATCTAACCATGATCTGGTATCTTAATTTTTGTTACGTGTAATACTTTGGCGACCTGGTATCATCGCCAAACCACAAACTCGGCCGCAGCGTAGCCAGCTATGCTGTATATATACGCATACTACTGTTTTTATTGTGTACATACAAGTACTGTAGTAAGCACTATTTTCAGTAATTCAGTTTACTTGGCAGTCATATGACGTAATTCATATCACCACCCACATGATATAAACGGTGTGTTATGATTCAACCAATCAGAAGCTTAGACGAGAAATCCAGTGTTTGAAACACTCAAGTTTAGCACATCCTTCAATATAGTTTACATTATTTCCAGTGCCATGTGACAGTAATCCATGTCAGAATGATGCATTGACATGTATGGATGGAGAAACCGAATATTTCTGTCAATGTGCTGTGGGATATGAAGGGGATAGCTGTGAAATCCCAAACGGTAAGAGTACTTTTAATTTTTCTTACTTCTACGTAACTTAAACAATATGTAGAAGAAACTTATACATATATTAAAGTCTGTATGTGCGAATAGACACATCATGGTACAATGGTTATCACTCTGAATTGACACTTACATGACTGAATTATAACATTAGGAAAGTTACTGTAGTCACATTGCTTTTCAACACCAGTAAATAGGAACCTGGTATGTGGCGATCGGCACTTACCTATGTGCACTTATACATGGCAGCAGGGTTGTATGGCCTCAAGGGAGTGATGATAGCTGATACGTTTGATTCAGTATATATATGGCCAACTGACCTGATGCGCAGAGTGCTTCAGTGTGACGTTCTTAAGATGTACTAATTAGAATGTATATTACTTAGTTGCGTGGATCTTGTCATAATAACACAACTGTACAGTTGGGCATTATAATGCATTAATGTTACAATAATTATGATAACCAGATCTAATGTTAATATTTCATTCGATCCAGGCTTACCATCGAACAAAAACAACACAACATTCACTGGTAATACTAGCTTGTTTTTTTCCTCAGGTGCAAGATGTGGTGGGACATTCATCGGTGACACCGGGGACATCTTCTCACCAGGGTGGCCAGGCGAATATCCCGACAAATCTTCTTGTATTTGGTTAGTTTTGATACCCAATGCCGACGAAATACTCTTCAATATTGTGTCCTTTGACACCGAGTGGAACAAAGATGCCGTAGAAATCGGCGCTGGGACCGACACCTATGGTTTTGTGGAGCATACATTGATGGGGTCTGGCGCAAACGTCACGGATCACGTGACGATATCATCCAATAGAGCTTTCATCTTATTCACATCTGATCGCAATAAACCGAGACCAGGCTTCCATCTTCAATTTGAGAATCCGAATCCAGGTAACATTCACATTGATTTACACAAATATTATGATTGATTATGTAATGCAACGACTACATTATGAAAACTTCACGATACATACAACCATACCTTTTTAATAATGGACAAAACTATGCCGTAAAGTGAAATTATAAACATTACTATGCATACCATACCTTGTTGTTCAGATATTGAAGTTAAGTATTCGGATTTATTGAATAAAAAATCAAATAATAAAAGGTACATTTTTTGTGAATTCTTGAGAACCCTAATTTGCTTAAGTTGAATACATGAGTAAATATCGTCCTCACTTTGTTCAGTTCGTTAAATTCGTGCCTGTCATATTCCAGAAAGCGGTGGTCCAGAGGAAGTAACAATCACTGACTTCACGACAACGACGTCAACAATCACGTGGAGTGCGGTAGAGGGTGCTGAAGCATACATTGTTGAATACAATCCACAGGATGGAACTACTGGCTCTCCTATAAGAGTTGAATCTTCAGAAGCCAGGGAGATGACATTTGAAGGATTGACCCCTGGACGGTTATATACATATCAAGTGAAAGCAGTTATAAATGGACAGGAAGGTGTTGCCACGACAACGCAGGGTGCCACAGGTATAAAGCAATGCCGAATAATGATTTATAAGAGCCATATAGGAATGCAAGATAGTTTACGAAAAACTACCATGCTTTTTTTCTGTTTGTAGAATCGAACAGACCAGGCGACCCCGTACAACAAGCGGCTACGAAGGAATCTGTTACCGTGGGATGGGGTGCTCCCCTGGGGGGATTTGATAGCTACGAGCTTAGTTATGAGCCAGCTGACGGAACCCCTCAGCCACCGATATCTCTGTCACGTGACATAAGGGAATACACTGTGGATGGTCTTATGCCTGGTAGAAAGTATACATTTTATGTGTCTGCTGTCAACGGAGAGGTTAGCAGCGCCGCCAGTGTTGGGTATGCTTCAACAGGTATGCAAATTACTGATATGATTAAAGCTTAAAATTCTGTTTTGACAGACAGACAGACAGATAGACAGACGGGTAGACATATTTAAGCTGTAAGACAACTGTTCATTGTTACATGTAATATACCAGCGTATTGATCGCTATTAAATTACTAGTATAACTTTTTTTTTTCATTTCAGTACCAAACGCCGTGGCGGAGATTATACCTGGTGCTGTTGACACCTCCACAATCCCCATATCATGGGTTGCAGGCGAAGGCGAGTATCAAGAGTTCGAAATAATGTACGCCCCACACGACGGAATTCAGCAACTACCAATCTCTACAACCAGTACTGAAACTGTTATTTCCGGTCTCGAACCTGGAAGAAGTTACAATATTAGTGTGAACGCGCTATCTGGTGGATATAAGGGCGAAGGGAAATACATTGTCACCTCCACAGGTAAGTCACAGTCAATGGGGACATTAAACAATGTATGGGTATTATGGTTATTACACGAAATGCAGGCAGTATCGATGCAATGGAAGAGTGTTAGTGACGACGTCAAAAGATCGATGTCGGATAAAATAAACGTATCTGCTTTAGTTTGGGGATTTAAGTTTTTTATCCGACATCGATCTTTTGACGCCGTCCCTTATATTAATAAACATCGTTTTATCCCAGACGTGTCTTGAATGGCTCTGTGGTTAGTATCTACAATCTACCAAAATTACTATATAGAATTTGTTGTGATTTCCTCTACTGTTACGTAAAAAGCGAATCAATACATTATCATTAATCCTAAATAAAACACACATAACAGCATCTGTACATTATTCAAGTTTTTATAGGTTTTATAGTGTACCGACGTTACGTTACGTCACACATACATTAACTAATTGACATGTCAATACAATTTGTATTTATATTTAGCCAAATGGTATAAAACTAGTGGGACGAGTTGGAGGCGGGGGGGGGGGGTATTTGTATACGTATTCATTCAAGCGCAGCCGCTGTTATTGATATATGCTGTAGGAAACCACTAATAAACGTTTAAATTATCCCCAAACAAAACAGACACACTCATAGTGATAAAACAAACTGCAAACTATTTAATACACTTTAAAAATTAAGAGTGACATTTTTTGGAAGTCTCCGGCACCTTTTAAATAGTAGTCAGAAAATTTAATCATTTGATTAAAGACGCCATTCAAATCTCTCTACTATATAAAAGGAAAAAAAAAACATTTCTCAACATTTAGGCAACAACCGTCGCCAATAATTGTGTTAAATACAATGTTGACAGTTCATTTGTGGTTATGGTTTTAAAGCGGTTCAGTCGTCACCTGCGCATGTGTCAGATGGCCATAGCGTGTCATTGTTTACAAACAAACATCTACCCGTGAGCCGTTGCGTTTTTAGCGCGTGCTGTTATCGTTGCTTGGGACTCAAATCCAGCGCGTGCGCAGGTTTTTTAGAATACTTTTCAGTATGGTGTTCAGCATTGTTTTTGTATTTGAATATCTAATTAATTGTATAATACTATTCCGTTTTTTGTTTTGCTTGTGTCAGTTTACTCGATTTCACATTCTCGATTCAGTTTAACATCGAAACAATTATCCTGTCGTTTATGTAGGACGGATCCGGGCGTTAACATATTTTAGTAATCTTGATTACAACCCTTAGTAACGGCCTTTGTCTAATTATCGCCACGCAATTCACTAATTGTCTTAATTGTTATGCAGCTCCGATGGGACCCGAGCGCACACAAGTCGGTGAGGTCACTGGAACAACTATTCAAGTGACTTGGGATGCGCCCGGCATGGGCGAATTTGATCATTATGAGCTGTCCTATGGTGACGGTGAGATCATTACCATCGGGAAAGATGAGCTGACCGAGTACACTCTCACCGGTCTTACCGATGGTAACGAATACACGATTGAAGTGCGTACAGTCAGTGGTGACGGTGTCCGAAGCGAAGCGGCTGTTGTATCACAGATTGCCGGGCGTGAGTATACTCATGAATATTCATTATTGTATATTCATAATTTCAAATCTAACCAGTGTCGTGCGCAGACGATAAGATGTTCGATATCGTTCAACCGAGAGCGACACTCCAACATATTTCGCCCCTAAATACGAGAGATTTTATTTATTTTTGTGTTTTATATAACCATTTTCAGAAGCCAATCCGTGCAGCGGCCAACCCTGTAATAATGACGGTGTATGCCGACCAACAAAAGAGGGCGGTTTTGAGTGTATTTGCACTACAGGGTGGATGGGAACACTGTGTGAAACAATGGTTGGTGAGTGGAAACGACAGTATAACACATGTTAAAACAATACACGAATATTGTAGACCTCGTTTCTTTAGACTAATAAATGTTGGATAACACCGTAATACGTCTTGGCGTCTCAAAGACAGATTCGATGGCACGGCTATGCATCTCCGCGGGGGTTACATATACTCGCCTTGATATAACACTACTTTTGTAAAATTCAGTATTTTAGAGAGAGAAAAGAATGTCAACGTCATTAATCTTAACCACTGTATCTTATCCCATTCCTGCAGAAATGGATATGTGTGAATTCAGTCCGTGTATGAATGGTGGTACTTGTAATATGATTGATGGACAGTCATTTACTTGTTACTGTCCTGGTGGATGGAGTGGATTTTTCTGTGAAGAGAGAGGGGGTAATTCGCTATTATATGTATACATATATATGTCACGCGAGTCAGCAGCGTTTTTGAATAATTTATTATTGGAATAATAGAAACTTTCTACGAATAAATAAAAACAGAATCGATAATGTTTGACCCTGTTAACTATGATTGTTTTCACATTATATCAGATCCGATGCCATGTGAAAGTAACCCATGTGAACGCGGTGGTACGTGCGAAGATGATGAATGGGGGGTTACATTTACATGTCAGTGCCTCGGTGGGTGGGGAGGTGCGACATGTACACAAGAACTCGGTAAGTGAATATTTTATGCCTTTTAATGCGTCATTATTAAATTATTGCCAGAAAATACTGATTTTATATATTACGCCCCAAGTCTCGGGGCAGATATACGGCCCTTTTCAGAAAAACCCATGACACAAAACAATGATACTGATCAATTAAAAAAAATTAACATTTAACAGACTGTCATTAGTTGATAACAATAATAACTATGCAATGCGCATGTTAATTGTGTACAGTATCAACTACCTCGCATATACTACATCGCATATGCATATACTACATCGCATATACTACATCGCATATATTACAAATTACGTTGATATAATGAATAGAAAGTGGTAGTTAGTAATCGCAGTTCGTGGTAATTATTGAGTATATAGATCAATGACCGAATATTGCCTATAATGGGTCGCAAGGGCTCTTTATATCTCAAAATGGCAAATGTATTGCGGGTACTTGGTGTGACTCTTGTGATATTGTGCTGCATTGCGAGAAATAATAAATATTTTAGTTTAGAGTGATTATCAATTAAACGAGATTGATATTGTCTGTATGCAGATCGATGTGATTCAAATCCTTGTCAAAATGACGGTACATGTGAAAGAACTGACGAGGGTTATCTGTGTACTTGCACAACAGCATGGGATGGTCCTGAATGTCAATTTGGTAAGTGTATTGTTTTGTCATAAGTCATGTGTACTTGTAAACCAGTTTGGAACGGTCATCAATGCAGTCAGTAGTCCCGAATGCCAATTTTGTAAGTCTACTATTTTTGTGACCCCAAAACGTAATGGTACTGATTTCTAATAAGAAAAGTCAGTGATAGTACTAATTCTGTTGTTGTTGTTGTTGTTGTTCTTTATGGAATGCAGTATTGTGTAATTCTACAAATATTTTAAATTCATTTGTAATAGTCATATTCATGCTGCTATTAAATTCCAAACATTAGGTTAGTGTTATATTCGAGTGAAATTTCAAAAGTAAAATAGAGATACTGCCAAATTAAGTTAGTAATGCCAGTAGCTGACATAATATTGACATTTCTTCATTTTTAGATGTTGATGAATGTGTCGGTAATCCATGCCAAAATGGAGGTTCATGTCTCAATGAATTGGGCGGGTATTATTGTGATTGTCCAGGTGGATGGACTGGAGAAATCTGCGGAGAAGGTAAACCACAAGCAATCGCTGTTCATAATTTAAAGTTGCGAATGGTTATTGATGTATATAATGGACAGCAATTGTATCATATACAGTAAAATCATATTTTGTCTTTTTCAAGTTAGGCATAAGCCAGGATAAGCTACAGTTGGGCACTAAACTAATTAATAACCTGTTGAAATTACAATGAGAATATAATTATACTTTCACGTGGAATTCGTTAATCAATTCACACCTTAAACAATAATACTTTTTGTATTTATAGTGAGTATGAATCCCTGTGACAGTGATCCGTGTCAGAATGGTGGACAATGTGAGGTTGAAGATGATGGGTTTAAATGTGTTTGCTTAGATAAGTGGTCTGGAACATTGTGTGACGAATATGGCAAGTACACATATATGTCATTGAATAAAATAAATAATTTGTCAATTAACTGTTAAATTAAATTGAATTCATAAACAAGGTGGAAATAACAAATGTCGAATAAAGACATTTAGAAGTCAAGCACAAATGACAGCAATCGATAAAAGAATAACAAAAAAATAATGTCAGGTGTTTCAAAAAGAGTGAGATCAACACAACTGTTGCTTAATGACAGTTTCGGTCTACAACCAGTTAAGTGACATTGATATCATCCGAGATCTTCATTTTTTTATTTAACCACAAATCATTTTATCTGTCAGGAAAGCCTTTTAAATCTTAACTGGAGTCTACAAAGTCCTTTGTTTAATAGTTTAGACAAAAGAAGACAAAGTCTCTTCAAAAGGTCTGCATATGTACTACAGCCGAGTTCGTAGCAAATGAGGTGGAAAATGAATACCTCATAAGTCATAAAATTATCCATTGTCCTGCACTGAAATCATATGTTTATATGTGCCATCGTTTGACTCCTATTTGTACTTTCATTAGATTATGATGTATGTGGTGACCAGCCCTGCCAGCATGGTTTCTGTGAACCATCAGTTAATACATTTACGTGTACATGTGATGATGGATACACAGGAGAATTATGTGATACAGGTATCAGTATAATACAGTTATGTAGCTATACATTTCAAATTGCAGATCATGTTGAGTTCAGAATATTAGGTTCTGTAAATTAGAAAATGGGGCATACTGTTTCATGTATCTAAACATTCATTCAGCTATAGACGTGACTTAATCCGGTGGCGAAGTGACTGATTTGTCATAATATTATTATCATAATATTTGTTCTTGTTTATTATATTGTAGCAATTGAAGCAACTGGTGCTCAACTTGCCTGTGAGAGTCAACCTTGTCAAAATGGGGGCACTTGTGTTGAAGGTGATAATATGTATACTTGTGAATGTCCCGTTGGTTTCATGGGAACACATTGTGAAGAAGGTGAGACAAATGTAATATTTTGATGTCTTAACATTTTGTTGAATTACTGCCATATTTTGATTGCTGTTTTGGCTTAAATTTTTAAATATAGTAATTGAGGCAACTTGTGCCCAACTTGCATGTGATAGTCAACCTTGTCAAAATGGGAGCACTTGTGTTGAAGGTGATAATATGTATACTTGTGAATGTCCTGCCGGCTTCATGGGAACACATTGTGAGTTGAATGTAATAAGTTCTTGTTCTTTTTAAATTATGTTGATTAATTACCATGTTTTTATCATAATATTTTTTCTTGCTCATTAAATTGTAGCGATTGAAGCAACTGGTACTCAACTTTCCTGTGAGAGTCAACCTTGTCAAAATGGGGGCACTTGTGTTGAAGGTGATAATATGTATACCTGTGAATGTCCTGCTGGCTTCATGGGAACACATTGTGAAGAAGGTGAGTTGATTGTATTATGTTGATATTGTTTTAAAGTTATTTTGTTTTATTATGCTGTTTTTATCATAATATTTGTTCCTGCTCATTAAATTGTAGTGATTGAAGCAACTGGTGCTCAACTTGCCTGTGAGAGTCAACCTTGTCAAAATGGG